TGGCATGGAACGGAAAAGCAAGGTATGGCATCATACAGCATGCCACAGGGCGGCATAGAATGTGGCATGCCACATGGAATGGAAAGACATGGCATGGCATAGAACAGAAATACAAAGCATTGCATAGCCAAGTGAGTTAACGGTTGATCTGACCTGAGGTTAGCCACCTCCGTCTGCAGTCTCAGGTTGTCCTTCATCAGCCTCTCTTCACCTTCCGAGCTGGATTTCTGCAGCTTCCGTACCTCGTTATACAATCTCTCATTCTCCTGTGAAAGTGTACACATCAAGCCAATTCATTCAAACTAATTTCTTGGTCAATCCTCTCCACTCCTAAAATGTACATGTATTTGGTTCAATTAAAAAAGCCATTAAATCACCTCATAAGTAAAATTCACCTGATTACCTCATCAACACCTATTCAGTGAGTTCCTTGGGAACTCAAATAAAATTCACAAGGAACTCGGGGTGTTTAAATTCATCAGTATAGCAATCGTCCGTTGGAATGTACACCAAAAATTCAGAAATGTGGACAAAGTTTAAGGCTACAACAGCATGACACAACTTTACATAGCCAAGCGCATCGCATCAGCACACTGTACGTGCATGCAAAGAAACTAGCTGGTAACCCATTAATAATTCACAGCATACTTGCTGGTAACCCTGAAGTAGTGTCTCCTGCTCGACAATTTCTTTCTGCATGAGCTTGATCTCCTCCTGACTGGCGCCCTCAATGGTCCGACCCGAGACCGCTTGCCTCTTCCCACCTTGTTGCTCATCCTGTATGTTCAACTTTGGGGGAAGACATATCACAGATAATATGAAATAAATGTTACAGACAACCTGACTAAAATCGACATGAATGCTACAAATAATGTCAGCAACTTTTGGGTAAAACTGCAAATCTGTCTCTTTATTCCTGCAGAAATTGTTCGTTAATATGTCAATTAGAGAGAAACGCACATACCTTTGCCTGCAGCACAGTGTTATCCTGTTTGATTTTGAACAACTCCCTCTGGTGATTCAACTTCTGCTCTTCCTCCTTCCGTGCTGCCTCCCTCTGCTGAGCAGCCACCTCTGCCTTGAGCTTGGCATTGAGTGTGTGCTCTTCTTTCCATCGTGCCTGCCACTCTGACACCTCGCTGACCAGTGCCCTCTCACGGGAAATGAGCTCAAGGCGGGACTCGCGCAAGCTGGCAGAGAGCAACGGCTCCTCTACGGACTTCCTTGGCTGAATTGGTCTCTGCAATGGCAAGAAATACACTTCAGGATCAACTATGAAATCACACATCATATAGTGTGGTATTCCAATCATTCGGGCGCGCGTGCATTCAGGTCTGTCAATTTTCGAGAAATGTTAGAGGGAAGCATACCTTTCAATTCAAATTCTTTGAGAAATTTTTCAAAATTAGCTTATACCTCCTGTGGTGTTGATGGCTTGCCCGCATCCACAAAATGTTCCTGAATGTAGTGAGCAAAGGACTCTACAGATGCAATGAGGTTCCCATGTGCCTTCTTGGGTTTACCTTGAAGAGATGGGACCTCAGACCCTGGAGAGGAATCACATTAAAATCCTTGATTATGGTTAAATGCCTTGCTCATGGACACACAGGGGCTAGTCCAATACGGACCCACAATCAACAACGGAACCTGAGGTGCTGCACGGAATTCAAAGCAGTTTGTCAATGTTTACCGTTATTTAAAAAAAAGGACAATACTAAAAACATTTCACACATTTTGAAGATTTCCAATAAAACTTTTCTGTCATGAATCAGTGCTGAAAGACAGACTAACAAACTGACCTTTGATCTTTTGCTTTGCTGAATCAGCTGGTGACCACGCATTTGCAGGTTTCGATTTACCATACCCCGAGCCTCTAATGTGGGAGTACCGGGAACTTGGAGGCTTGATTCCAGCCTTCTTTGGAGCAGCTGTAAAATTTTAGAAAAATACACAAGGGTTGATTCCACTAAGCTGTGGACACGGAGGTAGGTTCAGGACACTTAAGCATGAAGCAAGATCAGATTGCAAATGCACTAAAAACTTCCATGCCACATAACTGTGCAAGCTTGCTTTTAATAGTCACAACATCTTGCCTGGTGTGCAGTGCAGAAAAGAGCCATATCGGTTGCATTTCGCAGAATGGCTCTACACCTTCACACCAATTGCTAAAACCGTTTGGATTTCTTGAAACAGATCCCTGAATAACTGTTTTCGTCTTGTTCATGTCCACATAACAAATACTTGGTTAGCATCAATCAATGTGAGTGTTCGAGCATGAAGAAATCAGGTCACCTTTTTTTGGTTGTTTTGCTAGACTTCTCTGGGAATTCTCGTCATCGGCCTGTAAAAAAAGAACAATTAATCACATCGATTTCAGTGTAAGGTTACACACTGTGCTGCATTATGGATACTGTCTACACTGAAGTTTTGTACCTGCATTAACCAATAAACACTGATTTTGTTTTTACTTCATTTTGGCATTGATTCTTGAGTTTTCAAAATGATTTTCAAAATGAATTTAACCCCGATCCTCACAACAGAGATTAAATGTAAGCGTTACTGGCACAAGCTGGCCGCAAAGAGGCAATGCTGTTTTAAAATCCACACTGTGCTTAACAGCAAGTTCATTACTGTGTCACTTTGAATAGTCACCGAGTATCACGTTCATGATAATGAGGAATTTTATCTTCTGTCAAAAATGCCTTCAGTGTCTTTTTTGTTGGTGAGATCCAAGGTTTTGACAGCATGTGGCATTACTCACACTAAGTGCATTGGAATCAAATGCCACTCTGTTTTGTGAAGTTGCTGGTTGTAAGTCAAATCCTCTGGACTTCTGATTGGCTGGTTGCAGATCGAAACCTCTGCTCTCATTGGCTGGCTGCAAATCAAAGCCTCTGCTCTCACTGGCTGGTTGCAAATCAAAGCCTCTGCTCTCACTCGTTGGTTGCAAATCAAAGCCTCTGCTCTCATTGGCTAGCTGCAAATTGAACCCTGTGCTCTCATTGGCTGGCTGCAAATTGAACCCTGTGCTCTCATTGGCTGGCTGCAAATCAAATCCTCTGCTCTCACTGACTGGTTGCAAATCAATACCCTTGCTTTCACTGCCTGTTTGTAACCCAGACTGCTTGTCGCCAGGATCATCCGTTTCATCAGCTGCAGCATGCTCTCTGTTATTGGTCGACTGTGACATTTCACTTTCATTTCGGTCCACGAGTCTACTTGGTATGCCGTCGACATTATCAAACATTCTTCCCCTCTCCTCCTGAACTTCCCGAATGATATCGTCAACAGTCCGGGACCGACCTATAACAACGAAAATATA